AAGAGGGATTGAATTTCACTGACCTGCACTGTCTTCCAATTTTGCATAGTCAGTTGGGAGGGCTGTAGCACATTACCTTCCTAATTATGACTAGCATGTTACAAATAGCTAATAACCCGGGATTAAATAATTGCCAAAGCTAACCCACTGAAATTGAGCAAACCTAAAATCCCATAAAAAAAGATTGAGGAAGTTTAGATTTCTGCAGCCCTACTTTACAAAGTAGAACAGAATGATGGAAAAAGCTAAAGCTCTGGATTCACACAGATCTGGGTTCAAATTTTAGTTCATCCACTTTCTACATGATCCAGGACAAATTGAGTCTCAATTTTCTCCTCTGTAAAATTATTATGATAAACCTGTCTCTTGGGGTAGTTTGAAGATTATATGAGCTAATGCCTGTAAAGTAATATCTGGTACTTTATGATACTCAGTATGGGTCTAATGATGATTTCTTTCCTTTGTTTCCCTAGCGAGTGGCATTAAGCCTTGAAGATGATGGACTGCCCTGAGGATGGGACCACTCCCTTCGTGCCTCATGGAATTCAGTTCCATGCACTACACTACCTGGCTGGTGTGTGCCTGGATGGAAGGGTTTCTGTATATGGGTCTGTGTGAGTGAATATGTGTGTGTGTGTAATTTTTTTCTTTAATTTATGTTGGGGAAAGGTAACCACAAAGTTATAATGAACTGCAAACATCCAAAGGATGTGAGAGTTTTTATATGTATAATGTTTTATACACTTTTTAACTGGTTGCACTACCCATGAGGAATTCATGGAATGGCTACTGCTGAGTGACTAACATGATGTACATAACCAAATGGGGCCGATGGTACAGTAGCTTACTCATCATTTAAAAATTATATTTACAGAGAGTATTTGGTTTGGAGGGCTTTTTTAGGTTTTAGAGTTTGGGGTTTTTTTTATAAATAAAATGATTATGCTTTGTGGCTATCCATCAACATAAAAGAAAAAAGAAAAAAACACTTCAACTCCTTCCCCCATTTAGATTATTTATTAACATATTTCAAAAATAAGATTAGTTATATAAATAATTTAGAGACATGACAGTATTTATTTTTGGTATGATTGGCCCACTAAATGGACTCTGTGTGCATTTATGTTTAAGTCTGCATGTGTGTGAGAGAGAAAAATCTAGAGAAGAGGCGCACTTATGGCTATTGTTCAAATACATAAAGATAAATATATTTTAAAACAGTCCACAAGAAGGGTATCAGTCGTTTTCAGAGAAGCTTTTGGAAATGTGGCTCATAAAACAGATACCATGGTTTGTGCAAACATGTAGTGGAAGAGGCAGAATCCTTTCCACCTCTGGCTATTCCTGGAACCCCAATCGTCAGGAAAAGCCCTTCAGCTCACCCATGGCTGCTGTGGCTCCTACCTGGGCTTTCTCTTCTATGGCTAAGGCCAGTGTACAGACTTTACACAGTACTAGAAGTTCTTGTGCGCTCAGGTGAGAAAATGCCTGAACCTTGGCTACTTCTTGTTTTAAAGTTCAGCATTTCGAGTAACTTCATTTTCCTTCAGAACACTTGGATTGAATTCATTAAGGTTTCTCTGAAGCACACTGAGGGTGCCTTCCTTCCTTATAGAGCACTAAGTGGAGATGTTTCCAGAACAGCCCAAGTTTACTCTAGGGACTGGCTCAGGCACTGAACCTCTGAGATGTGCTATGGGTGAGGATAAGGACAGTGGAATCAGTTTTGTTACATCTCCATTTCTCCCTTCCCCTTACTTTCTACAATTTCCTTTAGGTGGGAAAAAGTAAGATGTAGGTTTGTTACCATCGTGTGTTCCTATAGATAAAACTAATTTTTGGCCTAAGTCAGAAAAAGTTGCCAAACCTAAAGTCCTTTTTGAGGGGGAAATGGCATATGCAATATTATAGTATGTTGGATATATATGTCCACACAGGGATTTGGTTTACTGCTTTGTAAATAAAAGGAAAAACTCTAGGTATATGTACAGATTTTTTTTTTCACTATGGACACTTTCTTCCCTTTTCCTGGGCCTTGGGGAAGGTGGGGAGAAGTGCTCCCTTCTCTTTGTGGGGTCTGTCAGTGAAAACATAATCCTACAGTTCCAGATGGAATGCAGTCCCCTCTGGCTCTCATCCAAGGTGTGGTCTTTTCTTAACTCTTTCTACTTCACTCCCATTGGACAACCAGGGATAAGGTGTGACACAGAAGTGTTTGGCTTAAGTAGGAGCAGAGGACATGTATCTAACCTTAATATATTTGGAACGTGACACACTTAAGCAAAGTCCTCCCTGCCCCTACCTGGCTGCCCTCAACTCAATGAAGCTTGGATGTCCCACCGGCTTGCTACCCTTGGAATTTCCAGGCAGACATTCTAGACTCTCACCCTGTTCCTAGGACCTTTCTCTACATCACTCATGGTCTCCTAACTATTGAGAAAACTGTGTTCTGGAGCCTGGGCACTATGCTTTGTATAAAGCAATTTCCTCATAGATGTATGTGTCGACAGTCCTGAAACATCCATTGAGAGGGTAAATGCAATTGACTTAGAATGACCATTACCAAATAGAATATTAAAAATGGGTGACCAACTCCTATGGAGCTTAATCACTTAGTACTATTCTTTCAAGAATGGAAAGAAAATTATTTTTGACTGAAGAAAAATGATGAAAGTGACAAATCATTGAAATTTATATAAAACAAACAACTTTTTCTATAACCTGCCTCCAAAGAAATAGAATTTCATGGGGAAATTCAACAATGACTAATGCATAATATCTAAACTTTCAGTCATATCTTGGCCATCACAGAAAAAATAATGAACTGGGATAGGATGATTCAGTCTGAGACTCAAAATGCTAATGAAACACACCATCTCAGAAACACCCATGTTTTCTGAATATGCTACAACTAACCACAGTTTGAAAGAGGCAGCTATTGGAGGCAACCTACAATAACCAAAATCATGGAATGTTCACATGTTGGAAGGCAGTAAATAAGATGAAATCTGAGGAGGAGTCCTTCTAATCCTGGAGGCTTTTGAGCCTCATTCTGAGGTTTAGTTGCATTTCTGTTGTCTTCTGCCCCTGTGCCATCGTATATCTATAGTCATTAATGGGTCAGAGGATCACTGGACTATAGAGCTGGAAGGAAGCTTACAGATAACGCTAGGACGGCAGAAAATTAATCAGACATTTTTTTCTCTAAAAGAAATCGGTCCTGGTCCTTTTCCTCCCTTTCCTTCTCTAGGATACTATGTTGGGCTGCCTGAACATTGTACCAAACCTGCTACCTATCTTTCCAATGGAATTATGAATGCCCTTGCAGAAATGGCCTTCCAGAAACAGGGGAAACTAAAATTTTATTTACTTTTGATAGCATGATTATTTATAAAACAGATCGAGGTAACCTGTAATCTTGGAATGAGATCGGATTTAAATTTATGGTAATAAGTACTACTGATCCCTCCAATTCTCTCTGTGATTTCAATATATTCATTCACTGAAACCATTCGCTAGGAACAGTGTCAAGCACTACAGATGTTCAGGTCAGTCAAACATTTTTTGTCCTTATGAAGCTCACAATAGCAGTAAAGAAAGACATGTGGAAACAAAAAAGGAATAGATTATTTTCAGAATGCTGTTAAGGTACAAAGAAGTCATTTTTACCAAGGCAGATGAGGAATGGAGTCAAGAAAAGCATCAAAGGAGAAGTAACCTTAAGCTAAGTCTTAAAAATTAAGTAGAGGTGTCTAGGCTACTTCAGGCAGAGGAGACACCATGCTAAGACACAGAGGCAAGAAACAGCATGGGGACTTTAAGGACGTGCACATAATTCATTATAAGGAACAAAAAATTCAAGGTGGACTTAGTAAGAAATGAGGCTGGATGGAAAGATAGGTTCAATGTAAGCACTTTATAGAAAACTAATATTTAATTTCTGATTCAATTAAGCAAACATTTCTTGGTAATTTATTGTGTATGAGGCACAATGTACATCATGGAAAATTCATCAGGATGTGTTAGCAGCACTTTGCAGACATGGCAATCTTCAGCCTCAAGCTTCCCAGTGGCCAAAGGGAAACAATGATTGCTTTTCATACAGTTGAGTTGAAGTTTCTCAGTATGGTCAATGAAAACTAATATAAGGGCAGTGAGATTTTCACAGAAGCCCTCCACATTGTTAAGCGCCTCTGAGATTTTCTCAAGTGAGAAAAATAAAAAAACTGGAAATTTTGAAGACATGGAATCTGCAGAGGGGACCTCAAGCACTGTCCAGTCAGGCGCTGGTGGGAATGGGGAAAGGGCACGGAAATGTGAGCCTCCCGACCTCACTCCCTAACTTTAGCCATACACTCATCATTTCACAGAATATAAGTAGTTAAAACATTTCAGAGTAAATTACTTTCTTTCCCATCACTGCATGAATATAGAATATTGGAGTCTTCTCACACTGTATTTTTAGGGTATTGGGGATTTTCAGATATGGAAAACTTAGAGGTGGAAGAATTACAGCTTCAAATTTTCAGTTAACAAAAGAAATCAGGAAGCTCTTATTTGTTCAGGCTATGCACCATGTGCACAGTCAAGAATCAGCAGAAACCCTCTGTATTTGCAAATACTTTGTGCTATAAAAAGTAATTTTAAAAGAACCACCTGTATATGTACATATATATATTTAAAGACATGAAGGTTTTGATACTTTTTTACAAAAATTGCAAGAGAAAATACCTGTACAAACCATATGTTTTAGAATAGCATTTTGTTCTATACAAGCTGTTTTTAATTTGGGGGTAAAGTACTGGTTTGCAAACTCCATCATGTTGTACCCAAATGAATTTTCCTTGTTTGTCTCCCCCCTCCCCATACACCCCCAAATTACTGTATCTGATGTAACAGGCATGTTAGAATGTTGGGTCACACTAACCGTTTCAACTTTTTGTCATTCTGAGTTCCGTTAGCTTCTGTATTCTGTCCCCTTTGCAGTCTGGTTTCTCTTCCAGAGGCAAAGTGTGCTTGGTATGTTGCATCTCACTAGCTGTACTGACATCATCTTGGTGAACTAAAAACCAAATATGAACATTTGTAAAATCAGTGCACTGTTTCTAGAGAGAGATTAAATTCATTTTTTTTAAATCCAAAAGTATCACTGTGATGCTTTAATGAGGGGGGAGCGAACGATCATTGAAACCTTAATATATACCCAGTATTCTTCATAAATTCATCTTCATCGACAAATCTGTGAGATAAAAAATATCATTCTGATTTTATAGATGAGGAAGTGGGTGAAGAAACTGCCCAAAGTCACACGGTTGTTTAGTGCCCCCGAAGTACATGTAGCGCATGTAGTGTTCATGTACATGTGGCATTCTCTGCCTAGATTTTCCTTCTCTACCTATTATCTGGTTAACTCGTTTGTCCTTGAGTACTCTGCTTAGACCTACTCCTCCAGGAAGCAAATCTACTTTCTCACTCCCAGACCTAACTCATAGGGTTAGGTAACTCTGCTTCTACAACAAATTTGGCTTACTTGTATCCCAATACTTCTGCCCTGCTTCTTATTCCCATGCCACTGAGGTTGCTTTTACCAAGGTCACCCAGGACCTCCTTAATTATAAATATTGTAAATACTTTCAGTCCTTATCTTCCTTGACCTTGGAAGGAGTATTTAATGCTGCTGGCACTCCTTTCTTGGAATACTCTTATTTTGGCTTACATGACACAATACTCCGTGTTTTGCCTCCACCTCTCTGGCCACTCCCCCCTCCCCCACCTCTTAAATTATGGTATTCCAGCTCAAATCCATCTACTTTTATATCTCCATTGCCACTACAGGAGTACTGATCACCACCATCTTGGGTTATCACCATCATAGATTACTTTAACAACTACTTATCTGAATTTTACTTCTAATATTTCCATTTTCCAACCCAGTCTACAACATTGCAGCCAGAGTGATCTTTCTAGAATACATTAAGTCATGTCACCATCACCTCTTTTCACTTTCCTGCTTAAAGACCTTCATCTGTTTGGGTTTTAGACCAAACTCCTTAATACAGCTTGTAAAATCCTTCATGATTTGGCCTCTGCCCCTTCCCAACCTCATTCTGTATTCTAACCACACAGTTCTGTGCCCTCTGGAACATTTCCCTCGGAAGACTTCCGTAAGCCTCTAGACTAGATTTAGAGCCACTCCGTGTGCTTCCATAGTATTCTGTGCTTCCCCAATTTGTAATCTTTATCCCTACATAATTGCTTATATGCTCCTTAATTGCCTCTGCAAGCCCTATGAAGGTCTGTCTTGTTCACCATTATATTCTCAGCACATGACACCCAGATTAAAATCCAATACCCTTGAGTTTTAGCCCAGACTCCCTAATATGGCTTGTGAGGCCCTTCACGATTACCTGATATCTCTATATACTTAACTCCAGTTACCACCTCAAAATTATTATGAGGGTTCAAGAAACAAGCACTTGCAAATGGTCTGTCAGCCTCTGAGCTAACATTTACTAGATACTTAATACCTCGTGATTCCCTTGTTTTTTATACAATTCTCTTGTTACTACACATATCCAATATTTTAAATAAAATACCTTATGGTTTTATTGTTATTTACAGTTTATATTTTCCAATTTCCAAGACATTGTTTCTTACTCTTAAAACAGTTCTACCAGATGCTCATTTAAAATTATGCTCATTTTAAAGATAAGAAATCTGAAGTCCAAAAAGTTCAATCAGTTCCCTTTTGATCACAGTGAATCATTTTCACACAAAGGATTATTCCAACATAAATCTCCAGTGATTTTTTTTTTTACTCATCATACCCACTCTACACTCTGCTACCAATGCTTTTTCACGGAGAAAAGGAGTAATGGCAAGACTGGGAATGAGAATCAGAGACTGCCCCCAGAATAAAGAACAGTATCGTTATGGTTGCCAGGCCCCAAGAATGATGCCAACTCAGCACTCTGTTCAAAACCAATTCCATTCGCCTTTGGCTGGAACTTAGATGAGCTAAAGCAGGCTTCTAATACTTAGGATTTTGACTGCCTTTTGCATAATCAAGGAGGTAAATTTTTCCTCAGCCAGAAAGCCTTCACAGAGGTCAACCACTTTAGCCTGAAAAGACAAAAGCCTTTTGGGGCAGTTCTCAACCCTGACTCATCCAGGAAGCTTTACAAAAAGAAACAAAAACCTGACGCCCACGGTTGGAGATATTGATTTAATTGGTTTTGGGTGGGGTCCAGGCATCAGTATTTTTAAATGCTCCGAGATGGTTCTATTGTGCAGCCAGGGCTGAGAAATCACTGCTGGGTAAGTAGTACGTAGATGGCTGGGGAGTGGGAGATCAAACGTTGTTTAAATTCTACTCACAGCATCTACTCCAGAAACCAGTGAAGTAGAAAGGGAAAGGTAGAGATAAAAAGTAGAATAATTGGGAATAAATGCGGTCAAGTTAGTTCCAGAAAAACGGCAATCTCCGTTTTTAGGAAATGTAAATTAGGAAAAAGCATCTCTGAGAAAGGTTTTCTCTAACTGGTCCTTAATCTACAAAGTTCGGTGGGACCCAACTTTAGACACACGCATACTACCGTGCACTGCGTTCTCCTGTGAGGTGGGGTTATTTAACCCCATTTTACTGCTGAGATGACCTAGGTCCAGAGACCGTGAGCAGCTCTGTCCCTCTCACATAGTCCTTTAAGTGAAGGTTGAGCCTGGAAGGACACAGGACTTAGGTATTCAGCCCAAGAACTTGAAGCGAGGCCCTGAAGCTCTTTGACGGCATGGCCTTATGCTTAGGAGAACACCTGCTGGTTAATGTCTTGTTCCCGCCTCAAGCTGAGAGGACGTGTCTGCACTGACCCCGCCTCCAAGTGAAAGGTCCCCTGTTTCCGTCGGGAGGGGCGGGGCCGCATTGTCCGTGCCACAGGAGGGGCCCCTTCGCTTCCGGTGACGGCGTGCTTTCACGTCACTTCCGCGCGCCGCCGTAAACGTCAGTGTCGGGCGCTTACGGCGGCGGTGTGGTTTGATATTAAAGTTCGGACTCCGTTGCCTTTTGCGAGCAATGGAGAGTGACTTTTATCTGCGTTATTATGTGGGTCACAAGGGCAAGTTCGGCCACGAATTCCTGGAGTTTGAGTTCCGACCCGACGGTGAGAGCGGCTTCCCGGCCCTCGGGAGCGAGCACTAGGCTTGGGGGCGGGCAAGTGGGGAGCCCTGGGGTCCGGTATGAGCCGGGAATTAGAGAAGGAACGGACTTCTCTAATATCTGTGCGGCGCGGATCTGGAAGAAACAATCCTGTGTCCGCCCCACTGGTTTTTTCTGTACATGTGCAGGGACTTCTGTTTAATAACATCTTTTGACAGAATGCTTCTTTCAACAAACATGGGTTGAACGCCCTCTTTTGTGCCAGTCTGTGTTCCACGATCTCGGGTACAGAAGTGAACGATAGACAAGCTTCCGTTCTCGTGGAACTCGTGGAACTTGTATTCTAGTGCTGGGAGAGAAATAGGAAGGTAGTGATGAATGGTCAGAAAATAAAACAAAATGGAGTAATTGCTGCTGGACTGCTTTTAGATAGAGTAGCCATTGGAGAGTTCTCTGAAGAGAGGGTATTTGACCCAAGCCCTGATTGACAAGAAAGAGTCAACCTTGTGAACCTCAGAAGGAAGAGCCTTCTAGGGAGGGAACAACAAGTGTCAAAGCTGTAGGGCAGGAATGAGCTAGACATATCTCAGGTGACCAGTGTGGCTGAAAAGTAGTGAGCTCTGGGGAGAATAGTGAGAGATGACGTGGGATAAGGAGGCAGGGGTCACACCATGTAAGTCTTTGTAAGCCATGGTAGAGTTTGGATTTTATTCAAAGTGCAGCACTAAGCAATTGGAAAGTTTTAAGCAAAGAAGAGATGTGATCTGTTCTTGAAAAAGTATTCTAATTATTGGGTGCAGAATGAGCAAGAAGGGAAACAGGACTACTTATTAGGAGACAGTAACAGTTGTTCAGACAACTGTTGAGACTAGAGTGTTAGTAAAAGGAGAGAAAAGGATTTAGGATACTTTTGGAGGCAGAACCAACAGTACTTTGTCAATTATAGGATGTATGGATGGGGCACAGTAGTGAAGGAAAAGAAATCAAAAATGACAGAAAACTCCCACTAAATCGGGGCACAACGATGAACCTGACAAGTCACATTTGTGAAGGAGATAGATTTGTAAACAGAGACAAGACAGTATATTAGGTGACAAGACAGAAGGGACTCAGAGCAGAAGGAAGGCACCTCATCTAGTTCAGAGGAGGCTTCCTGCGTAAAATGACTTGGGAAAGGGGAATGTGAGACTTCAGTAATTATAGGAGTTGTTTAAGCAGATGAGAGTAAAGAAGGCATTTTGGACAACGTTAATGGCAAAGAGGTTGAAAACGAAAAAGTGCATGGAATGTTTCAGGCAAAAACGAAGTAGTCTGATTAACTTCAGCTATCATGAGAGAGAACTGTTGCAGGAGTGAGCCTGGAAAGGCAGATGGGGCTCAGTTTAACAGTATGCCATGTTGAATTTTGATTTGATCAAGAAGGCAGTGAGCAGCCATTGTCAGTATCCAAATATTAGAGTAACCTAATCAGATCCATATGTTACTACATCACTTTGTTCACTATATTGAGAATGAACTGAAAGGAGAGACACTTAAAGCAGAGAAACAGTGCAGTGAGGCATCCGTTTGGCTCTTTACATATGTGCTTTCTATTCTATGGGGAAAAGTTGCCTCTTCTATTTTTATCTTTTCCTTCATACCCACCATATATATACCCAGCCTGTTGAATGCACATAGACACAAAGGGCCTTATAAACCAAATGTGGTAAATAATAAAACCACAACTTTTAATCACAGGAATAGATCAGAGTATTGCATATTCACATGATAATATATGTATGTTTTCAAAAGGCTTTCACAACTTATTTGAGTCTTAGGAGGCCCTGTGTGCTACTAAGTTACCAGTTACTATCCCTATTTTCATCTGAGGATATTAACCTGCAGAGAGATTATTTGCCAGAGTCCCAAGAGTCTGTGTTCTTTTATCTCATTTGAGCTAACCTTTTGCAAGAACTATAATTCAATGTCAGCTGTATTATTTTTGCTGTGAGACCTATTTAATAGCCTAAAGTGAAGAACTGAAAAAACTGGTATTGTCGAAACCGAAGGTGTAAATAATAAATTTGTTAGACACTTGAGGGGAAAGTTAAGATACATTTTAAGCAACAGCCAATAGTCTTAGTAGGCTAATGATGCTTTAGTCATACATTTTTATTATACATTGAATTTGTTTTTTGCCCCTCACAGGTAAATTGAGATATGCCAACAACAGCAATTACAAAAATGATGTCATGATCAGAAAAGAGGTAATGAGCCTCCTGAGTCTTTCATTCACTACAATTTAGCTTTTTGTCTTGTTTTTGTTCTTTCTGGGAGTAGTTTTGAAAGATAAAGAATAGAGAAGTATAGCTATGTCTGTAGACAGCTTCTAAAGTTTTTCTCAAATCTTTTAGTTTGTATTTTTTTCACAATGCCAAATCAATTAATTAGTGGTAATCATTTGAACTCTTGCATATCTTGCTTTGTAATCTGCTACTTATTAACCATGTGACCTTGGGCAAATTCCCTGGCTGAACTTGATAAGTCTCAGTTTCTTCATCTGCAAAAATAGAAATAATAAAGCCTACCCCCACTCAAAGTCTTTGGCATATTCCCTAATGCATAGCACTCAGTAGAGCTTTTTAACTTGCATTTGAATGGGGAAAGGAAGCATAAGAAAGCAGTTAACACCATTGAATATATGGTAGATGCCAAGCATGGCACTGGTGATTTTACATACATGATCTTAATTTGACCCAGATTGTAAGCTGTGTGATGGGTGATATTATATACCCTTTACAGATAAGACAATGAAGACCCAAGTATTAATTATGGGACTTGTTCAAAGTCACCTTGTTAATAAGGGATAGAGCAGGAATTAAAACCTATGCCTGCCTCTGTCAAGTCCATGTATGCTCCATTTTGGTATGATTTCTACCACCCCATTTAAGTCTTCATAAAAGCTACTTTTTCTTTTTAACCACTTGGTCACATTTGAAAATATCTTAACAGTCAACATATTTTCATACTATTATATTTAATTAGCAGTCAGTTTTATGCTTACTCACACATTAGCATCTCCTTTTTTTAACATAGTATGTAAAATGTAATATGTAAAGCATGTAAAAGCCAGAGTAATCTTTTAAAATATTCTAAAAGATATATCTCTCCTCTTTAGAAGCATGTTATCTAGTTAAGAATCACCAGGGTTACTCATACATCTTTTGTTTTGGGTTTAGGTGTGAGTTGGGTATGTAGGCAAGGAGAAGGTTCATGTGAACAGGTTATACCCAGAAGTAGAAACAAGTAGTTGGGGGACTGAAGTGTGGTCATTGGGTACTTCTGACTCTGCCCTCTTCAACATGCTGAGGTCAATCCTGAATGTCTTCCCATTTACAGGAGTGCTGGAAATAAGTTTTCAGGAGCAGTCTTTTTTTATTTGTATTGCTATCTGAGTCAGTATGCTGCTTAAGGATACAATTTAAATTCTGTTTTTTAACTTGCTTTCAGGCTTATGTACATAAAAGTGTGATGGAAGAATTGAAGAGAATAATTGATGACAGTGAAATTACCAAAGAGGATGATGCTTTGTGGCCTCCTCCTGACCGAGTGGGCCGACAGGTGAGTGTTTTAGCAGCTATCCACAGTACAGAGATCTTACAAATAAGATGAGGTTTACTGCTCTGCATATTGACATTGAATCCACTTGTGTGTGCATATGCTCATGCATGTTAGGGAGCTATACTCAAAGCGGATTATCAGCACCTTGGTCTAAGGAAGCAGTAACCCCACAGGGAGGAACACAGAGAGCAAGTGGTGCTGCTGACATCTAGAGCTCAGCCCTGAATTTCTTCTTGTAATCCCCTCCCCCTCTTCTTAGAGCTTTTGCTGCTGACCTCACTTACTGAGTGACTACTATGGACAAAGCATTATGAGGATACAAAGATAAGTAGAACATAGTTATTTTAGCAGTCTAATGGAAGGAAAATCATGTAGGCAACTAAGTATATGAGAGATACTTCTCTCAACCTCAGATGTTTCCTTCCTAACCCAGACTCCTAATTGATTTCCTTGTTTCTCTTCTTGCTCTGTACAACTCATTTTTCCATCCAGAAGCCACAGTAATCTTTTAAAATGTAAATTTTTTATGTACAGCCAGTTCTTAAATAATGTCATTCTGCTCATTATGGTTTCCTTATAACATTGATGAGATGTCGTAGGAACATAACTTGTTTATGTCAATTAGCCTATTAAAAATTGGTTTTCCTATACTACATCGTTTTGCTTAAAGTCATGGAACCAAATGATGAGGTTAAATGAGGACTTACTGTATTCTGCTGATTTTAAACTCTCCAGTGGTTTAACCACTGCATTTAAAATAAAATCCTAACTCTCACCTTATCTTCTACCATTCTCAAAATCTCTGGCTGTGTTCAAACCTCACAGGCCTTTTTTCTGTTCCTCAGACATACCTCAGTTGTTCTTAATTTAAGACCTTTATATTTGCTACATGCTGCCTAGAATATTCTATCCAAGACTGTCTTTATTATTGAAGTCTTCATATGTCACTTCAGTGATGTCCTGCTTGTCATTTTAAAAAAAGTAAGATTTGTTTTATTGTCTTCATAACATTTATTGTTGTCCAAAACTGTCCCATATTCCCCAGAAAAGTTAGATATTTGGTATTTGTAAAACACAGTTTTATACGTCACTCCACACTGTTAATAACAAAAACTCCAATGTAATCTCTTTTAAATCCCAGAAATGGTGGAGCCTTATAGACACAACTTCCTCTAAGAATATGAACTAAACCATTATTTATCTCTTTGTTTCCAGTACCCGGCACAGTTTAGTGCTCAGAGGCAACTGGTCTTGTTTATGTGCTGTAGAGTTTTTGTAGAGTTTTTGTGATTTGGCAGATGATGAACCCCCTTCTTGTGTGCTTGATGAAAATTCCAGTTCAGTTTGACTTAGTTTTTTTTTAATGTTTCTAGGAGCTTGAAATCGTCATTGGAGATGAACACATTTCCTTCACAACATCAAAAATTGGTTCCCTTATTGACGTTAATCAATCCAAGTAAGTGTACATGATCCTAATATCCAGATGTGCCTATTTTGCAGCCTGTTGATATGAAACCCTTAACCAAATTGGGACCATTATGGTAAGATCTGGAACAGATGCAAGACAGAAAGGGTCAGCTTTGTCCCCCTCATTGGAGAGAGATTCGAAATTATTTTCAGTGGCTTTCTCCTATTGCTTTTGGTGTTTTATTCAGTCATTGCTAATAATTGCTTCTCAGTGACACACACAGAGTAATGCCGTAGGAGCAGCCAAAGTGGGTAAGAATCTGGCCAAAAAAAAAAAAAAAAAGGAGTAATCATTTGGATGCAGGGGAATTGTGCTGGGAAAACTGTATGGATACATGCAAAAAATGACACTGGACCACTTTCTTCACCACATGCAAGAACAATTTCAAAAAAAAAAAAAAAGCCAAAACAAGTGCTTGAGAAAACTGTAGCATCACTGAGTCTGAACAACTTTTTCATTGTTGGTCATTCAGACTAGCACATCTTAAAGTCTGACTTGGACAAAACTGAAATTGTTTAGAATATAAATTTAAAAATTCACGTCAGTAGGGCAAATTATAAAGTTGAAACAAACTATATAATAGAGTCTTCAGATGTTGGCATCCTTTTTTTTTTTTTTGTCTTTTGTGTTTTGAGAATTTGGGATTCGATATGGCTCACTTTTAGTACATGTTGGGCATAGCTGTCTTCCTTTGGACAGTCTCTTGTTAGCGAGTTATGCCATAGTAATCTTCAGCTTCTCAGTCCTGTTTCGTACTACTTATAAAATTTGTTCATAATTCTGAAAGTAATACATGCTCATTATTGAAAATATAGGAAAAGTAGAAAGGGGAAACCTTTCAGTTAGAAAGATAAACCTATCAATTAGAAACTGTTAATACCTTGAAGTATTTATTTTTTTTCTGTGCATTAAAAAGTTTTTAAAAGCACAAATATCGAGATCAACAATCTTATTTTAATGATTTTTTCACTTAATATTTTCCTATTTAAAAATGCCTTAATATTTTAAATGACTTTATATTTCATTTTAATGTATAGCATATAGCTTTTTCCTTCGTTTTGGACACTTAGTTGTTTTCAAAGTTTATATTCTGTAAATACTTTTATGAGTAATATCTTGGTACATAATCTGTGTTATTAAATGGTATTATCTTGCTAGTTTTTCTCAGCTTTTTAAACATTTTTTTTTTCTCTTGCATTTTAGGGATCCAGAAGGCTTACGAGTATTTTATTACCTTGTCCAGGACCTGAAGTGTTTGGTCTTCAGTCTTATTGGATTACACTTCAAGATTAAGCCAATCTAGATTGAATGTTAGTATGGACACAAGGGGGTGGTAGTGGCTATTTTTAATTACCATTATCAGGAAATTTTCATGTATATCAGGGCAATTTTTTTTTTATAAACTATAAATGATTTTCTTTAATAAATGCGTAACAAAATGCAATTTTTAGTTTTATAAAGGTCTGAATATGTGAGCTTTTCAATTACTTTTTAAAACACTGACATCCTATGTGAAGTATTGTCCACAAATCTAACCAAATCAATGCTCTAGCTATAACTACAATTTACAGGAAATAAGAAAATAGAGAATCGTGTTAAAAAAATCAGTGAGAATCCAATCAGCAATATCTAGAGGAAACTTCAGGGCAAGTGATCTGGTTTCTTCAATAACTAAATTGCAAACATAATGTAGAGATGGAGCAGGAAACTATAAAGGAAATTTAAAAGCCATATAAACAATACAATGGATTGGATCCTATTTGGATCATGATTCAAAACATTTAAAATTAACATCGTTACGGAAATTTGAATACTGGATATTTTATACTAATGAAGTATTTTTAAATTTTTTGGTGTAAAATAGTATTGTAGTTGGGTTTTTTCCTCCCCCTTTATTATAGAGATGTAATAGAGGTCAGGTTTTTAAAAGTCATCTTTGCTAGATTCATCCGTAGCTATTTCAGTATGAGAGAACATACTTTGATTTATTGTATTCTAAGGGGTAAAATGCCTGGTCTTAGAAGTTTCCCAATACATTTTTTTTTTTTTTTTTTTGGCATTGAATATTTACTTTTAATACGGTGACATTAACGAAATCAAGTAAGTTTCAAGTGTACAATTCAACAGTAAGGTATATGTATATTGCATTGTGTGTTCATCACCCTTAGGTTTTCCAATATATTTTAAAATCCGAATCCCAACAGCCATTAAGAACTGAGACCTAGTAGGTACAGCTAGTGTGGGAATTTGTTAAGCAGGTACATCAGTAGGAACTTTTTCCTTGTGTTAAATTGCATGGCTTCCTTAGGCAAAGTGCTGGTTGAACAGATTGTGCGCACTGAAAGGAACTGGGCTGTAATGTGTTATTTAACTGAGGAAAAGTGATTGATCTAAGTTCACGTCCCTCAAGACAAGCCAACTTGGAACAAGGTCCAAAGTCTTCTGACTCCTAAGTCAGTGCCGCGCCGCGCCCCCGCCCCCAATACACCGGCTCTGACTCCTTCAAAGAGACCAGGGCATGAGGTTAGGTGCAGAGCTGGGACCCAAGATGTCAGGGTTCCTGTCTCCAGTGCACTTTTCCATAGAAGGGTACTTGGGGCAATGAGGTAAGTTGGTGGTAGATATCAAAAACAGTCACTCCAAATTTTAAAGAAATGACAGTGATGAGCTCAGGAGCCTATAGACTTGAATGGGCTCTTCCTTGTAATGCTCACAGTGCCTGTATGGTCTCAGATGTACCCTGGACAAGAGGGCAGGTCAAACAAGGTTCCCTAGATGTATAAGGATAAACCAGATGGAAGCCCAGAGAAGAGCCAGCGAAAGGGGAGTGTCCAGTCTTGGGGACCGCAATGAGGACGAGCGCACGGGCCAACCCTCTGAAAGCGGGGCTCGAGAGGAAAGGGCAGTTTAGAGGAAAAGGCCTCACCTCTCAAATCTGCGAAGCTGGCCCCGCCTTATCTAAGTAGCGAGGTTGGGAGTGGAAAGACAGAGTATTGAAGAGCCAGGGAAGAGATCTGAGTGTTAAGAAATTTGCCGCGGTATCCTTCAAAATAGCTTAGTGCTGGCACGACATCCCAGTTCAGTAAAGATTTGGAATTACTGATCGCTGGAGGCAGGCATCTACGGGTCGTAGGAGGCTAACTGCAGACCCATGTTACTTCCACCGTGTGTTCACCTAACGCAAAAAAAAAAAAAAACCATACTCCAAAAAAGCGCGCGCAGACACCCGTCCCAGCGCCCCGCCCAACGCAAGCAGCAGGCCCTCACCGAGGGTGCGCAGGCGGCGCCCGCCGTTTACGACTGGCCGGAAAGTAGCGACCGCAGCAAGGGCCGTGCGGAGCCAGGCCACTATGGGGGTGAGGCGGCGGCGAATATTCACCGGGGCAGGGACAGGGCGGTGGCGAGGATCTGGGAAGTAGAGGCTCGGTCCGGGAAAAAATGAGGGGAGTGGGCTTGCGCTGAGAAAGAGCGGAAAGACAGGGCTCCTGCTGGGAGGGGCCGGCCTGGGGCTAGGCGTGGGGCTGCGCAGGCGCTGTTGATGCGGTCGCTCTGGCCCTCCCTCTCCTCAGAAAATCGCGCTGCAGCTCAAAGCCACGCTGGAGAACGTCACTAACCTCCGGCCTGTGGGGGAGGACTTCCGGTGGTACCTGAAGGTGCGGCTGGAGGGGCGGGGCCCTTGACGTGGAGAAGGGAGGAGCTTCGAGAGGCAGTAGGCTCTTCGAAGTTCCGGGTGGGAGCGCGCCCTGGAAGGGACCGGGCTGCTTGGGCCGCACCTCCAGGCCCCGGTCCGGGGAAGACATTCCCCAACTTGATCTCGTATTAAACTGCAGCCTTATCTCCAGTAGGATGGGAAATGTTTAACCATTAAATGTCCTTTTTCTTGATAGAATTTTATGTTTGATTTTTAAAGTTTATTGGTTAATCCTTAATTGGCAGTGTCTTGAAATTCCCTTTGTCATTTTTTTTCTCCGTTAACTATTTCATGGTATGTAAACAAGTGCTGAACGAAAGGCTACTTTAAGGGATATTGTGAATTAGTAAGAATAATTTCACCTTCTGTTTTATTTGTTGATGAGATTTCATTGTGAAGTCGTTTAATTTTGAGTATGGTTCCACCCTTACTTCCCCACTCAGTACTGGTAAATCTGGTACCCTGATTTACCAGTGGCATGATCTCTAGAGATCCCCTTCTTACCCTAGCAATTTGAGGCCTTTCACTCTCGCAGATCCCGGAGCTTATGCTCTGTTTTCCTCCTAGTCTAAATCCCAGCATTCTTCAGTACCCGACAAAAGCCTTATCTCTTTCAAGGAAGCCTTCTGACTACCTTTATTTCCATATATTTTGAAGCCCAAGTGTCAGGGCTTATTTGAGGAATTGATTTTCTTTGGTTTCAAAAAGCACAGTCTAGCGAAGGAGAGAGAAATAGAGTAACAACATAATGATATATACTTGTACTAGGGACCTACAAGGGCCTGTAGGAACACAGAGGAACTCAGCAGAGTGGGTGGAGGCTCTGTTGAGGCCATTTCTGTACCCTGAGCCTTGAATCCCTAGCTAAACTGGGCACTTCTTAAAGGAGGGTGGGAACGCCAACACCAGAAAGTTTGACCTATTCTTTGCCCAGAGATAAGTCTATGTCCTGGTTGGCCTTGTTGTAAAGATGAAGTGAAATTGCTGACAGGAAGGTAGGTTATGAATCTGCCTTACCCTTCCTGCAGTGTCTGCCCAACTGAGTTTACTACTTTATTAATACTCTTTTCCTCCCAAGATGAAATGTGGCAGCTGTGGCGAGATTTCAGAGAAGTGGCAATACATTCGGCAGATGGTAACTACTACTCCCACCACCATACCCACACACGAACACATGTACATCTCTGGGTAGGGATTTGGGGAACATGGGACCCTAATTTCCCCAGTCTTTGGACCTTTCTTTTTGTGGTTTGAAAGGGCAGGCATCAGTGTGATCAACACTGGGAACAACAGGCAGCTTTGAGGTTTGAGGCAGAGTTCAAAATCAAGGAGAAGTCCTTTCCTCAGTCTCAAGACGCCTCCTTAGGATTCTTGTCCTAGGACGTCAATCACCCTCTCTGTGTCTTGGTCTCTTCAGTTGAATAATAAGTGGTGGGACTGGATCTCTTCAGTACCCTACATCTAATTGATATGTGACTAGAGGTTCTGTTTACTCCTTCCTAGGACAGTGTGGCACTGAAGGGAGGCCGTGGTAGCGCCTCCATGGTCCAGAAGTGCAAGCTGTGCGCGAGGGAAAACTCCATTGGTAGGTCAGGCCATGAATACTGAGCTCTGCCAGGCTAGCTCCCAGCTTCCTGGTACCAAACCAAAAGCAAGCTCATGTTACCTGTGGGTTGACCTAGGCCTGAGGCAACCAGGCTTCTGCAGCAGACTCTTTCCTAGAGCCACTTCTGGGTATCTGGGGGTGGGGCCAAGGTATGGACTCAAGTCAATTTTGTCTTGTTTTATGTTTCAGAGATTTTGAGCAGCACTATCAAATCTTACAATGTAAGTTGCCAGCTATAGTGGCAGGCATGGTGGGATTAAATCTAAGTTGGGAGCCAGGAGGCCTGGGTTCTAGAGTTATATCTGCCCCAGAGTAACCTGCCATAGGACATTCATTCATGTTCTTATTTGTTTACTCATTCACTAACTCAGTCTAGCAGTTATTCACCATACACTGACTGCTTGGTAGAGACAAGACTCATAACAGACTACTGCAGTGTTTTTGTTTTTTTTAATAAGTGCTGGGCTGTTGGAGCTTGAGGGACCTGTGACCCAGCCCAGCCACTCAGTTTCCATTCCTAGATGCACTTGCCTTATCTATATCTTAAAGAGACTAGAGAGCCTTCTCTGAAACCAAAGGTGGTAGAGTCCTTTGAATGATGCATCCCAATCTTGATATTGTCCATGTCACGAGGTAGTTATACATTACTGTATAACAGGTTCAAGGATGCAGGAGGATATGTGTACTTTGGATCTGTTTGTTTAAAGAAGGGCAGTTAACTTGTATTCATTTATTCCTTATTTGGTATTTTTGAAAAATGTCTAATTTATGCCAGATTCTCAGCTTCGTCCTGAATTAAAGAGAGAAATCAAATGAGAACTTGCCCTCAATTAAATCATAATCTAGTGGAAGACAGACTAGCAAACAAAAAGCAAATCAGAGCCAACAAAGAAGTGCCCCATCAGTGCCAGGTACATGGTCAGTGTGTAGGAAATGGTTTTATAGTGAATGACAGAATGAGAATGAATATGTGGGTGTGATGCTTGGGATCTGTGAGCCCATGGGTCAGGTAACATGAATTTCCTGGTTATATTAACCCCTCAGAGGTGCCCCTTCTGCAAGCAAATCCCATTTCAAAGGCTATAAGTCAGCCCCCTACCTTCACAGCATGGCAGATGGTTAGCTAGAGGGTGCAGCTAAGTATACTGGGGCTGTTTGGATGATCTAGAGACTCTGTAGCTTAATATTCTTGTTCATATTTTTGATGTTGATAATAATATCTACCATTTATTGAGCACAGTGTTGAGTTCTCTGCTGGGCATCTTACACATATTTCAAATTCTCACAATAAATAGTGGTTTACTCAGCTCCATTTGACAGTCTCAGGCCCAAAGGGGAAGAGAGCCAGAGCTCTGCCGCATATCTAGACAGGCTGACCCCAGAGACCACACTCTGTTCTGCAGCATACATGTCCAAGGTCTCAGGGGAAGCAGGTACCGAAGGCAGGCTTCTTCCAGAAGGGGAAGAGTTGCTACTGAGTCCCATTCTGGATTCACAGGGCAGTCAGAACCTACTTGGCAAGAAGGGGAGGGGCCATGGGGTCATCCTCAAGGCACAGTTGTGCTTATGTCCTCAATACACTTCCTTTCTAGACTGAAGACAATGAAAAGTTCAAGACAATAGTAGAGTTTGAGTGCCGGGGCCTTGAACCAGTTGATTTCCAGCCCCAGGTATGTTTGTCTTCCTAGGGAACCTCTATCTTTGGGGAGGACATATAGAAAGTGACAGGAGAACTTTGCTTCCTACAGAGATCATGGCCTATGAATTCTCCTAAGAATAATAATAATTATTGTTTATTACATGCCTACTATGTGTTGGGCACTATACTGGTCACTTTTACATGTTACATTATTTAATCCTCAGTGTGACACTGTGAAGTTATTCATCCTATTTTTCAGATGAGAAAGATCTTCAGAGATTTTGTAACTTGCCCAGGTTTAGTGAGCAATGGAACTGTAATTTGAACTCAGAACTATCTGACTTCAGCCAATGCTCATCCCACTTTATTGGTGCAGCATTTTCACCTCACAAGTCTGTGAAGTAGGCAGAAAAGATAGTATGGTCTTGCCTGTTTCATAAGTAAGGAAACTAAGGTCCAAAGAGGGGAGCGACATGGCCAGAGTCTTTGAGATTGTCAGGGATAGTGGAAGGGTTTACCCCGTAACTCCTGCCTTTTTTTGGTATAGGGTTCTAATCGAGGACCACTCTAGTCCCAGGGCAACTGCCAGGCCCTGGAAGCTCAGTAGTTATTCTAGAACAGCTGCCCATACTGCATCTCTGACCTCCCTTCCTAAAGGTGTGAGAAAAGCTAGTTCCCTGGCCAGCCCTCACATTCTCCCTTTTCCTCAGACTAACTGCTGCCTTCCTGTCACCTGTAGGCCGGTTTCACTGCTGAGGGTGTGGAATCAGGGACACTCTTCAGTGACATCAATCTACAGGAGAAGGTACAGATGGGACTTGGGGGGCCTTGCAGGGTACTATAGGGTACCTAGTAGAAATTACCTGTAAGGTGAACAAGGCTCATTAATGGAAAGCTGACTATATCTTTGTGCTTTTTTGTTGGTGATTTTGGTGTTTAAGATGGCCCCATGTATATAAGTGCTATCTAGTATTCCACATGCACGATGGTTGGGATGTACCTGCTGGAGAAAGCATGTTAGATAAGCTTTGTTCGGGCATGGGTTATAGTGCTGTTGGCTGTGAGTTCAATTTTAATGAGTCAACAATATATTAAAAAGGTGTTTTAAACAGAAACATAAATGAAACAAGGTTATGTATTGATCAGTCGAAGAAAATGTTGTGGTCTGATGCTCCCAGGTACCTAACGCTGTATTTTCCCTGGAAGCAGTGGTGCAGTATTCACTAATTCAGTGTTTGTGGTGACTGTAGAACCTACCACGAATACCTATCACAAATAACAAGAATCAACTGTATTACTGGATATGTTACTCCCTTGCAGATAAGGAAGTACTGTGTTCATGCCTCGAAGGAAGGACAAAAACTTCATTCAGTTTTCATTAACACCTAATAATAGTAACTGAAATTTATTGCGCTCATGTGTGTCTGGCACTATGCTAAGTACTTTTACATGTCACCTCATTTGATTCTTTGAACATCCATCATGAAGTCTATCGTTGCCCCCCTTTTTTAAAATATAAAAGACAGCACTAAGGATCAGAATGGTTAAGCGACTTGCCCCAAATCACAAAGCTAGAAGAGCTGGAGTTCAGATCTGAGCAGTCTGTCTCTGTTCTGGGTCATATATGTTCATGAATATGAGTAAAAGCCTGAACTAGGCCTTTTAAGTCCCAGTTCTCCACTCCACTGTCCCAGGCTACCTCATGAGGCTAACACTGCCATTTTTTTCCACAGGACTGGACTGACTATGACGAAAAGGCTCAGGAGTCGGTGGGAATCTACGAGGTCACCCATCAGTTTGTAAAGTGCTGAACCCTCTTCCTGCACACTTCTAAGAACTGAGAAGGGACAACACGTTCTAAGCAACAGCCCACTGAGGCTCATTCCCTTGTTCCTTGTTCCCTAGCAGCTGTCTAAGCCCTCACAGTGTGCATGCTGATCTCTGTTACAGCTTCCCAAGCCCCACCAATAAAGCCTGTTTGTGCTGTACTCGTGCATGAAGGTACAGCCACTCTCTCCACAAATAAGAATTCATGTTGGAGGTCTTACTGCTTCCTGACAGCTTCCCACAGTATGTAGTCTTATATCTGATCCAATTTGCAAAATATGCAGGAACACACAGCTTCTAAAGGCTCTCTAGCTCTTGGGGAGTGGGCAGGTCAACCCAGAGGACCAAAGGTGTCAAAGCCAATGACATGAAGTGCAGCTGAGCCTCTGGAATGATGCCATGAGCCCAGTAGTCCTAAGCCAAAACACTGCATTGATCAGCTTGGCTTTCAAGTGAACACAGTCATCTGTTAGCTGGTGTCACTTTATATTCCGGGGCCAGAAGGAACTGTAGAGGTCAGCAATCTAGTCCTACCATGAATCTGCTCTATAAAATTCTGGCCAAGTGGTCATTAGGTCTTTGCTCACTTGCTGTGATGGGGATAGTCTCCTCCCATCAGGAAGGTTAGTATGAAAGTTCTTATGCTCAGTCAGCCTCCATGCTACATGTGGCTTCTGCTGGTCCTGGTGTGACCCTTTTGTAGTCACACTTCGTCTTTTGCTCCCAGACAGCTCTGTGGAGATGTGAAGACAATAGTCATGGGCCTGGTTTCCTGGGTCTGAAGATCCCCTACACAGTGGACTGAGTTGTTTGGTGCATGGTTAGGTCACAAGGGCATGCTCATGCCTTCACACTGAATCCATTTGGAAAACCTGTTGTGAGAGACCTTATTTCTCCAATGTTCTCTGCTGGAGCCTGGAATTCATTGGAAGTAAAAATATCCTCATTTTCTGAATGGCCCACTGGGAAAGGGTGTAGTCGTGGGGCACTAAGGAGGAGATCCTCTGATTTCAGGTAAAGGTGGCCATGTCCAGAGATGGTGAAGACGTACCTACCTTGTCCCCTCTCTCCAGTCTGGCAGCTATATTGTTTTTCTTCTAGGTCCCCTGTGTTCCTGGCCCCTGGGCCTGCTCTTCTCTGTACCTGACAAAACAGGGCTTCTTTACCCCTCCCTCCCTTAGCCAGCAGGTCCCTCAGCCCCCTATCCCAATGGGTCCAGTCCACTGCCCAGCCTGAAAGCAAGTAAATGGAAGCACTGGGTAAGCAGCTTTTCTGGTTTTTATTCTATACTAGCCAGTGTGTATGAAGCTCAAAGACAAACATTAAAAAGATCTCAAGGTTTTGTTTATATTTTAAATTCTCACCTTTCAGGAGGTAGAGGAACCCAAACAATCATTAACATTAAAGGAAAAGTAGATTATGTTAATAGATGCAGAAAATGTATTCAGTAAAATTCAATACCCATTTAACAGCAAAACAACCATAGAAACTTAGCAAAAAAAAACTAGGACTAGAAAGGAACTACCTTCACCTCATAAAGGATATCTACATGAGGCGTTTGAAGTATTCCATTCAAGATGAAGGCGAAATGAGGTCCATCACTGATATTCAATGTGCTCAAGGGCTGACCAGTGTAAGATAATGTGAACAGACTGAAAAGGAAAAAACTCACTTTTCAGATTATGTTTTTCTACTTGGAAAATCTAAAAGCATTAACAAATGCTCAATTTGAGATTAACAAATACATTTCAGTATACTGGCAACAAGCAAAATATAATTCAAGACAGTGCCATTTAAAATAGCAACAAAAATATACTCATCACCAGGAAACTTCCCTGCCCCACCCTCCAGGACAACAGTCTCCTGTTCAAGAAGTAGTAGAAGTTAGAGCTACTAGAATTGGGGATAGTAGAAGATGAGAGTGGGTGAGCATGCTCTACCTATATCATTACAGCTAATCTTCATTACATCACCATGTTCTAGGAATTATCCTCATTATACAAAGAAGAACTCACAGACCAGAGAAGCAAAACAACTTGCCTTTGGTCATGAAGTGAAGACACGATGAACTTGGGAGTTCAACTATTCCTGAACATGGTTCATGAGTGACAGCAACATTATGTTTTTACGTACACTGGCAGCCATCAAATGTCTCTTTGATCAAACCATAGAACACAGAGGACCTGGTACCTGTTGGATATTCATTAAATAATTACTGAGTGAAGGATGGGTGGAGTCAGCTAAGAAGATATGCAGGCATATTTATATGAACTGTATGAGGATTAAGTGAGAAAATGCATTGGAAATGCTTGACAGCTGGCTCATACCAAAATTCAAATCCCAGTTGTCCGGGAACTCACTGGGCAAGCCACTGGGTAAATGCAGGTAAAATTAAAAGCCTTTCCTTTTCAAAAAACAACAGAATACCCTTTCACATTACAGCAGTGTTCTAACAGTAAACAAATAATTCTATTCATGTCACTTATAGGAGATGTTTCAAATGCAAAATGTGATCACAGCTGCATTAGGCCATAATTAGCACATAAGCTTCAACTGGTTAAATACACACCAATTATAAATCTTATTTGGCTTGAAGAATAGTAAAATGGCATTCCCTAAATTCACAGGAATAACTTTTATTGTAGCAGGATTATTAGAATCAGACATCAGCAGTTCATTTCTTAGAAAAATAAAGAGGATTTTCAAAGAGAGGATGTCCCAGGAGAGAAAGCCAAGTTTATAGGAAGGATGAAAGTGTTTCTCACCATCACCAGAAAAGTTAGGGAGCCCATAGGAACTGTTACCTGAACTTATTGGACTTACTGTTGGAAATTTCTTTGTGGGGATTAGGAAATTAGGTTAAAAAATAAACTCAGAGGAACCATCTATCTCCAAGCAACAATTTCTGCTTCAACAATAAATACACCTGAGTTATTTTTTCAAATCCTACCTCCTAATCAAATGTCTTAAAAATGAAATCTCACATATATCTTTCATTGTGATCTAGTCCCACTTGTAAATTACATGTTTAGCTTTAAAAACCATGATTTTAAAGTTCAAGCTTTACGACACTGGCTGATTAGTTTCATTAGTTACAGAATAGCACCTATTGGCTACATAAGCCTCAATTTTCATATCAATGAAGCAATGGAGGCTTTTACCCTGTACAGAGGCTAAATTTTGATGGGTTTGCCTTCTATGGCATCAAACATGTCTTCTAAGGCCTTCTCTACACATTGAAGAAACTCCCGGGCATTGCGGCCTGGGTAGGAGGAGATGTTGCAGCCTATCCAGTTATCATGAACAGCATACCCAATGCCGAAGCCATCAGGGACCACAGGGGCAAAGCCGCCGATGTTCACTGCTGGGCTGTTCAGTGTGCTCGTGGACAGGATGTTGTGGTTTATCTGCCCATATGCAGGGTCCAGGTACAGTTCAGGTAGGACAATCCCTTTGGCTGCTGCCAGGTACCGCAGAGCAAATAAGTGACGGTCAAAGCCCTGGCCTATCAGAGACAAAATGAAAAGCCAGAGTCTCAGAATCTCGGAACTGAAAGGGACCTTAGTAACCCTCCCCCCACCCGCCATGTATTAGTCCCCATCACAGCATCCTTGAGCATGGAAGAAAGCTCTACCTCTGCATGCGCACCTCATCTCACTAACCTCAGGAGTTCATTCTAGAATAGTTCCTTAAGAAAAAGTTGTCAATGGCTGAACTAAAAATGAGCCTAAAGTGAAAGCATGATTTTAAAAAGTCTGAAACTAAATCACGTTAATAAATCAGAAAAGTATGTGAAGAGATGACGGACTCAAAAACTAAGATAACATCTAAAGTCCAGGTCAAGTGTAAAAGACAATATTGAGTCAGTGCAACAAAAGAGAAAGGGTTCTATCTCAGCTTTACTGCTACTTTGCTATGTAACTCTGGGCCCATGGCTTCAGTTGCCTACCTATAAAATGGGGAAGGATGAGACCAAAACGTCCTGGAAGTCTCTTTCAGTTCCAGGACTTTTGGCGACATGAAAGGATTGGACTATGTGATCCTCCAGGTTCTTTCCAGGTCTCGAATTTTACCACAAAAAAGCAAAGAAGGATGACACTTAGATTTGGAAAGAGCTTCTGAGCTGGCCTATTTACAGGGAGCCAACACACTGTACTGGACATGAAGTAAGAAGCGCTATGGGCTTAGAAAGCCTAAATTGTCAAAACTGAGTCTGATGACCCAAACACTCATGTGTCACAACTGAAAAGTGACCTTAAATGAGGATGAAGTTAGATGCATTTCTCCATCCCTGTTCAGGAGGTAAGAACATTCTGATCCCTAGTGGCATGTCTGGCCATTCAGACTATTAGGTAGAAAAAAAATAAGGAAGTTGGCAGAGGGATTAAAACTAGTGAAGGGGTGGAAATCAGATGCACGGTAGAATATTACTGAGGCTTACCCTTGTGCTGAGGGCAATGTGACTCAAAGGCATGCTCCCCATCCCCATCTCACCCATTGCTGCTTCTTTGGTCAGCTGGCCATGGTATTTGGAACACTCGGCCATCATCTGCTGAAGCTCTTTGGCACTGTGCTTGGAGGGCTCCCTGACAAAGGCCTCGGAGCACCTCTTTGTGAAAATGGAGGCAGGGCGGATGGTCTCAGTGCGGCCGTGCTTGAATGCTGCAGTGCTACAGGACTCGTAGGTGGCCACTGTCTGCCCATACTGCCGCAGAAAAGCCATTTGAAAGGCCAGCTGGGCCACTGAGTCAGGGCTCAGCTTCTGCTTCTTCAAGAATTCTTTGCCTCCTCTCTGAAACCTGATTAAGTCAATGGAAAGGGTTTTCATGGTGGCATCAAACTTTTCCTTAGCAGCACTGATGCCAGCCTTTAAGGCATCATTCAGCTTGAAGCTGAGTTTCTGCACAGCAACAGAAGAGTCAGCTCTGACAGGCTGGCTCTGTGGAGTGATGGCAGGGGCCTGAGTGCTGTCTTTAAACACTTCATTGAAAAACCTGAGCACTGCAACACCATCGCCCCAAGCATGCTCAAAGTGAACAGCGGCAGTGCCATCCTTGGCTATAATGAGGTTAAAAGATTTATCAAACCAGCGGTTTGTGCCATCACCATGCAGCATATTGTGGGACAAATGGACAAGGTCCTTAATGGGGAAGTCATCTAGGCAGAGACAGAACACAGCAGAGTCCACCTTCCTCAGGTTCTCTTCATTACCATCACTCATGAGTTTCTGCCTGAGCTCTGCCCAGACATCTCGGTTCTCACTGCCCAGATATGCCAGCGGAAACTCTGGGGCAGGGCTATTGTCTGAGAGGATGTACTTCAGATGAGCCTGGATTTCAGAGGCATTCACGATGTTCCCATCTTCATCCAGAACATCAAAGACATAGAAATGTCCTTTTCTTAGGACCAAGAGGTGTCTGGCCTTATCGTCAGTGAAGAGTTCATCCCGACCGGGTCTGGGTAAACGAGTTGAATTGAATAGGCGAAAATACTGGGACATATCCAAGGGATATGCATTGACCAAGTAGGCACCATACCAAGACAGAGAGGAAGGCACAAAGCGTATGAGTTTTTTGAAGGTATCAGTGTCACTTTTGGCAGGGTTCAAGTGAAACACTTCTGGCTCCAAAAGGCCAGCCCGGAGTGTCCTCAGAAACCGGATGGCAGAAACAGTCATGTTGGTCGCCCGGGTGAGCTGGTCATTATACTCAGACTTTGGGTCGGGGTTGAATGCCATAAATGGATTAAAGTTCAGGACAATGGAGTCTCGAGCAGTTAAGTACATATCAAACCAGGGGCCTAAAATATAAAAATAAAAAAAAGAACATAAAAAGTTAATACAGTCCCCCAAAATAAAATTTGAGACAAAAAAAAAAAAAAAAAATCAAGTATAGGCAGAAGAAATGACATCACCCTCCAGAGGGTGAAATTTCTTGATTTTTTGGTCTGCAAAAATTCATGTTATATAAATAAGATCATACAATATATGGTCTTTTGCAACTGACTTCTATCACTTACAATAATGTTTTTGTAGTTCATCCAGGTTGTAGTATGTATCAGTTCTTCATTTCTTTATATTGCTGAAAAATGTTCCCTTTTATGGATATACCACCTTTTGTTTATTCATTCATCAGCTGATGTACATTTTGGGTGGTTTCCACTTTTTGGTTATTATGGTATGCACAAGTTTTGTGTATGTTCTCAGTTCTTTAGGGATATAATTAGAAGTGGAAGTGCTAGCTTAAGTGGTAAGTCTATGTTTAACCTTTTGAGGAATTGCTAGGGTATCTTCCAAGGTAGCTGCACCATTACCAGCAGTATATGAGGGTTCTAATTTCGCCACATCCTTAGCAACACTTGTCATTGTTATGATCTGTCTTTCTGACTGGAGCCATTCTGGTGGATAACCATCATTGTGGTTTTGATTTGCATGTCCTTAATGTTTATTAATTGCCTTTTCTTCCTCATTCTGTTTCATTTCTTGACTCTTAAAGGAATAAAATATAATACCCCACTTGTATTAGTGCTGAAACAGAATAGTTGTTAATTCCCATCCCATCTCCTTAGGTTTCTCTTGCGTCATCTCCCTTCAGGGACAACATTCACATTTGACTATCTCTCTAATATGAGGGACAGTCTTCACCATCATTCTGTGTGTTATGTACATTTGTGCACTCTTTTAGGAAATGCTTGAAAAGCAATTAGAAATAACTATCAGTGTATGCAGACCACTCAGATAAGCCCTCTGCATTTCTGTGGATGTTTTGTTTGTAAAAAAAATCCAGAAGCAGTATTTTATATTTTATCAGACAATGTGTCTTCAAGGGAAGTTCCTGCTAGGATTAGTAAGCATGGATGAACTCTACGAATAAGGACCATCTTCTATTAGAAGAAATAATTTTCAGATTTTGAAAAGCACTGGAGAAAGGATTAATGGATACATATTTATCTATTATTAATTTGTTGGTCCATCCATTCCATTTCATTCCTTGAGAATCAATGCTGTGCCAGACCCTGGTCCAGAGGATACAAAGAAGAACAGGACATGGACTGTGATTTGGAAGAACTCTGGTGAAGGAGACAAACAGAATTAAAACATTAATGCAACACATTAAAATGCTAAGAAAAGAATACTGGGGGATGAGGAGGTTAAAATATATTTGATTTAAAAAAAAGACATGAATTTATGCCTCTGATCCCTTCAGTAAAAGAATTTTAAAGAGACATAAACCAATAAGGCAAAGAGAATGAGAGAGGAGAAAAGAGTGAATGTTAGAAGTTGAAAGCATTTAGGCAACTGGTAATGACTAAAGCAGACTCAAGAAAGCCAACCCAATGCTGGCAGCAGATTTATACAGCAGAACCCCCAAACTGCTCAGTTTGGCAGCCTAGATACATCTGGTTGAAAGACTATCTAATTAGACCCTCACTCCTACCCCCCAGATATCCTCCCCATTCCAGTAGAAGACTTAAGTTTTATTCTCTGGAGAAAGTAAAACTGGGGGACATAAATTATAGTTGAGATCTCAAGCCTTCTTTCCTTATCCCACTCCTACAACACTAGCTACCAGGAAAATACCTTTTGTCAGTTTACTGGAAAAGCCTTTCTTGAAAGTCTAACCCACAGACACTAACATTAGGGCACCTAAGGAAATGGTTTAGCCAGATCACATTACAGTGAAGCTGTGACTGACAAGCCCCATCTTCATCTACAGAGCTTCCAACAGCTTTTTAGTATCTCATTCATATCCAAGACAACAGAGAAGGATTATGAAGCATCTGAAGCAAGAGGGCAACTCAGTAAAAAAGCAACTTGGAGACAGACTATGAAAAAAGGTAAGAACTTAAAAAAAATTCCCAGATAAACTATTAAAGGACATAGAAAGCTAAACATAAAGAAGTATAAGATAATCATTAACTTCAGAGAAAACAAAGTTTGTACAGGAAGGGAAAAACAATTCCAATGTGCTACATAACTCAGATGACAATAGCATTTACATGATCATAACAGCGTAAACACTAAATCCTAAGCTAATCAAAATTACAAATAATTATACTGTGAAAATGAGGGGATAGGAAAAGTACACATCCGTGCATATATGTGGTGATGTAAGAGACTGCTAAATTCTAATCTTCCATAGTGAGATGTCACCAGACAAAGACTAAAACTAAAAGAGTTAAAATGCATAATAGAAGTATATAATTTAGGAAATAAGGATATATATCAAAAGAATCAGATAGCAGCTGAAAGTGAGAGGTGGGAAATTAGGGGAGAGTCAGGAAATTGCTGTGTTTTTCCGAATAAGCCTGATAGAACTATTTGATTCTTTAAACTATGTGCATGTATAACCTTATAAAAAATATAAACTAAAGTGCTGTGGGTAGAGAGGTGGAAGCAAACCAAATTTAAATGGAGAAGGAGAAGGACCGAAAGGTTTCATAGAAAATACATCCTACCCGGGTCTTTTTTTTTTTTTTTTTTTTTTGAGTATATAATTGGCATAAAACGTTATACTTATTTCAGGTGTACAATATAATGATTCCATATTTGTATATATTGTGAAATGATCACCACAATAAATCTAGTTAACATCCATCAACATATAGTTACAAAATTTATTTTTCTTATGGTGAGAATTTTTAAGATCTATACACTTAGCAACTTTCAAACATACAATACAGTATTATTAACTATAGTCATCACATTGTACATTACATCCCCATGACTTATTTATTTCATAACTGAAAGTCTGTACCTTTTGACTCCCTTCACCCATTCCACAACCCCACCCCCTGCTTCTGGCAATCACCCTACCTGTGTCTTAAAGGAAGAAATTTCCAGGTAAAAATAGTAGAAACATGGATAAAAACACAGAAGAATGAAAAAATAATGGGTTGAGGGAACAATGAGTTGTTCAGTTTTGTTGAAGCATGAAGTATGTCAGGGAGAATGGTAAAACATAAAGCTGGAGAGGGCAGTTAGGCCAGAGCATAAAGGATCTAGAATGATACACACAGGGCATGGGACTTAAACCTGCATCCTTTTCAGACAGAACCAATTTAGGTTCTGTCTTGATCCTACCTACAGAGAAAGCAAGCCATGGCTCTTGAACATGGACTCCAGACAATACCTTAGTGGAGAAGGAACTTACTCAGCCTTAACATTACCTCAGGAAGAGAGGATAAGACATTACTTCAATGTTTATCCCAGCAAAAAATATTTTTGAGACCAAAAGAGAAGAGAGGGATGCCTTACTTTGCATTATGGTGGGCTCTGGGAAAAACTACTTTCACAGCCCAGCCTACCCACCTGAAATGTAGCTTGTATGTTTATTCTGCTTGTCTTGAGCAACCAGTTGCTCGTGCAGTTCTTTTCCAATCCCATTTTCAAAACTCTTGCAAAACTGTTCTGTTTTCCTGAAATGTTCAAGAAAAAACAGAATCAAATCATGGCAGAAAATACATGATTTTTAGATTCATGGCCAAAAACTCATACACAGAGTTTTGAGTCCCTAATAGTATAGAATCTGGTCTGAGATCAGAAAGTACTTCTGATCAGAAGAATAGGAATCAATTTAAAATGGGTAAATCTAGGATTTCTTCTTAAAATGATTAAACTGGGAAGATCAATCAACATCTCATAAAATAATCTGTAATTTAAGAGGCCGGTTGGCATGAAGAAAAGGACATAATCACTGGAGTCAAAAAGAGCTAAGTTTGAATTCTAGCTTTGTCACCTTCAAACTGTGTGACCTTGGACAAGTCACGATCTGAGTCTCAGTTTCCTTATGTATAAAACAGAGGTAATATACCACTTCACAAGATTAAAAAACATTCATAAAGTAAGGATTTAGAATAGTTTGAAACATAATACTTAATGACTTACAGCTATTAAATTATTACCAGATCAAGAGATGCTTCGAGTGGCTAATAAGGAATATTTACAAGCAGAGGACTACATTATGAACAGTTCATCTGTTTTTCCATCACTGTCCAGTGAAGAACTCTGTGATTCTAATGACAACACCAGTTATCTGAGCAAAAAAAATCTCATTATGGAGAAAGAATACTGTACTCTAGAATATAATGCAATCCACTTTTTGACAATATCCAGTATTATTTTCCAATTCCATGTTGTATTAGTATCCTAGGACTGCCAAAACAAAGTACTACAAACTAGATGGCTTAAAACAAATTTATTTTCTCACAGTTCTAGAGACTAGATGTACAAAATCAAGGCGCTGACAGAACCATATTCTCTCTGAAGACTCTAAGGAAGAATCTATTCAATGCCTTTCTCTTAGCTTCTGGTGTTACCAGCTATCTTCGGCATTCTTTGGCTTGTTGATGCGCTCCAATCTCTGCCTCCATCATCACATGGCTGTCTCTGTGTCTCCTCTTCTTATAAGGACACAAGTCACATTGGATTAAGGACCCATCCTACAACGGTATGACCTCATTTTAACTAATTACATCTGTAACAACCTTATTTCTAAATAAGGTCACATACTGAGGTTCTGAAAAAGAGCACAAATTTGGGGGGCACACTCTCCAATCCAGTACATATGCTCACCAATCACACTTCTGGTCTTCCATATGCTCTTCTCAACGGACCTTGCTACCAAGAGCACACGCCTTCTGCAAATGACTAGTAGCAGCTAGCCTCCTAGGTAAGCCTGCCAAGATAGGGTATAAATTTGGCATTCTGGCTTATAAACCATCACCTACTGAGTCTAGTTAGAAAGACTTGCTCAGCCCTTCTTGAGTGAAAATCTATTTCCTGAATTTGCAAATGTAGAAACTAAGTCCCAGGTTCCTGGAGATCCAATCAAATCACAGATACTTCCTGAAGCTCGGTCTACCACTACTTGTCAGCCTCTTTTAAACCACCCAACCATGGCCATTCAAGGTTCTCAGCATTTACCTGAACTGTCCATCATCTAGGAGAGGTTTCTGAGCACTGAGGTATCTCCTAATGGTATCTTCAAGTTTGGGAATAGGCAGCCTGTGGACAAAGCAAGGTCAATGTAAGAGTGACAATATGTGGAACAGGTTAATTAGCTTCACAACCCAAACTAATAAAAGGATTACTGGATAATGTTCTTCCCAAAAAACCAACAATGGGAAGCAACTGACAAATCAGAATTGATGGATTTACTAATGTATATATCAATGGTAACTATTTAAGTAACACAATAACTTTTTAATGTGTTAATGATGAAGTTCATAAGCTAATTAGTAAATATACTAATAGATTCAAGATGGGAAAGTGGAAGCTGCCCAAAGCCTTCCTGTTTCCTGGTCACAATTATAATACCTGTGCTAACCCTGTATTGGCACTGATTTGAATTCTACCCTTAGTTTGAACAACTGCATTTTTCTCCCCCCAATTTTTTTTTTAAAAGTCCTATTTTTTAATCTTCTTGTGCATTTACAACAGAGATTCATACGAAAGTGAAACACAGGTCTGTCGAAGGGCCACCCAAATATGAGGTCGACCATCAAGCCATGCCCAGCCATCGAGAGTCCTATAAGGAAGAACCAGATCTTCCTATGTGCTTACTTACTCATCATTCTCTACCAGTAGATTCCCAATGATGGCTATGATGCTGAAGTTACTGGTCCACAGTGAAATGAAAACGCATGGACAGTATGGTGAGGTTTACTTTCTTTTGCATGTCAATAATTTTATCAAAAGATATATTCCCTAGTACCAAAATTTAAACAGAATTTAAATTACCTCTACCAACTCAAAATTAACACTGATACATTCAAAATATCTAAAAATAGTAACCATTTACAAAAAAAGGAAAATTATCAATAAAATGTAGTTTAAAACCTTACTATAAGGCATACTGTGGTTCTAATGTTTATTTTCAAAGTGTGTTTATCCAAACATGATGTAAAAAATAAATCTGAGTTATTTATAACCGTTATGAACTTAGGCTGCACTGCGTAACTATTCACAACACTTTTAACACTAGAGATCCCCTTACATTCATGGATAGAAACAGAAAATCCCAAATGCTACCTCAACTATCCCATAATGACAAAGTTATCCACCATTTTTCTCAAGACTTTGTTTTGACACAGTAGGGACATTAATGAAAATTTACCTCTTTTAAACAAAATTCTAAATTAGAGGCATGGCAGTTTTATAAAAACAGTGCTTATTAAAAAGCTTCTTAAGTTGTTAACTCTAGCCTGAACTCAGTGAGGTAAAAAGCTAGTTTTCAGAGTGATGATTTATATTTTAGTTATTAATACAATACAAACTGAATTTTCTCAATAGAATTATACTGAAGCAGCATATATTCTGTATAAAAATTTTTATCATGGACACAAAAACACCTGTTTTCTATTAAAAAAAAAAATTAAAGATAACAAGAAATATGCCACACTTACCAGGTCTATATCTTTGCCTAATATAAAATGCCTTCACTGTAAATGCCAAATAGCAATACAGTACGTATCACTGAATTATCTAATATAACACTTGGCAGACAATGGCCATGGTTATAAAGTTACTGGTTCACAGTGAAATGAAAAAAAAAAAAAACAGGAACAAGATAGTGAGCTTTTCATAAAGCTAAATTTGATTAATTTAGAAGTCTGTCCTTAATTCTGAGATTGCCTTTTTTTTTTTTTTTTTGGATGGGGATGAGGGTCATTAAAGGTCCTTTCTTTTAAGAAATGTTATAACAATATTTTCCCCATAATTTTACTGATCTATGAAATTTAAAAGTTTAAGAACTACTGACACAGTAGAAAGAGAATGAGATTTAGAATCAGACCTAGGCTCTGCTGCTTAATTTCTAGTTATATGGTTATAGGTGGCAAATTGCTTGATGTTTCTCAGATTTTATTTCTAGTCTATGAAGTTAGAGAGAATTGTCTCACAGAGAGAGATGAAATCCTGTCAAGTATGAACTTCACCTAGCACAAGTTTATTACTAACACATCTAGTATACGGAAAGGTTTAAGTTCACAGCCTTTGAACTCTCACAGATCTGGGTTTGCAGCCTGGACGCTATCACTCACTATCCATGTAATCTTGGGCAAATTTCTTACCTCTCTGGCCCCTTTTTCTCCATTCGTTAAATAATAGCTCCCTGGGTTATTATGAGGATTAAATGAAATGTATTTGCATATATAAATTTATATATATAACTTAGGAAGGTTATCTGACATACAGTAAGCATTAAACATATAGCACACATTGAATGTATATTTACAGACATCCAGATCCCTCTCTATATCTATAGATAGCTCATTCTTTCTCCTTTCCATTCTTCTTCTGGTTTCCTGCTTCCCTCCTATTTTGACACCTTCCACCTTAGGCACAAAGCCTACTATTTCCTTTCATCTGCTCAGCAACATTCAGTGTGGTCTCACATAGCTACTACTCTTCACTAGCCATTTCTACTATACCTTTTAGAACCTCCATTCTGTTCTGAATAAACTATCCTATATTCTATAACTTTTCCTCCAGTATTTCACCTACCTCCTCACCTCTCTTAAAATATGACTACAGTCAGCCCTCCATATCCGCAGGTTCTGCATCTGTGGATTCAACCAACCACAGAGCGAAAATATTCTGGCGGGAAAATAAGTAACGTTGTTGCTGACATGTACCATGTAGTGAGGTCCAAGATGACTGTGTCTGTACTGAACACATATGGACTTTTTTTCTTGTCATTATTCCCTAAACAATACAGTAAAACTACTTTACATAACATTTACATTGTATTATAACATTTATATTGGTATTATAAGTAATCCAGAGACGATTTTAAAGTATACGTGAGGATATGTGCAGGTTATATGCAAATACTATGCCATTTCATGTAAGAGACTTGAGCATCCATGGATTTTGGTATCTGTAAGGGGTCCTAAAACCAATCCCCTGAGGATACCAAGGGACAACTGTATTCTGAAAATACGCTTGCTTTCAAATTTATCTCCAAAGAAAGCCATTCCCCAATTTCTAGGAAGGAACAGCACCCTCCCTACCCCATCGCCTGCCATCAACATTAAACAAGTTTCTTTCCTCTCAAAGTCAATTATACCACCTTCTCCCATCCTCATCTGATACTCATTCCAAGAGGTGGTGGGTTAGTGAACCAGCTCTCCAGTGGGTAGGGGATGGAGCCCTGATTTGTACCATTTATCAATTTCTGTAAATCTCCCATCAGGCCAATTTCAAGCTACTGACATGATGTCACTGAATGCAGAGCTGGGAAGAAATGCACAGAGTTAGCTCTCATGATTATGCTGATTTACAGAGAGAGGAGCTCAATGTTCATTAGAATTCTTCCTCTGAAACCTCTTTTCTGACCTCCACTGGCACACAGGCCAGCACCAAAATAGGTAGTTAATAAATATATGTCAAATGAATTAGATGATTACTCCTTACTTTAACCCCTTCCTCCTACTCATCTCAGGACCCTGCATTCTTCTTTATCACATTTAGTGGTACTTATATATTTATGTCTCTTTCCTCCATCAGACTTCAGGCTGTGAAACACTTAAAAGGATGAAGAAGATGGAGTTAGAAATTCTCTCTTCTCACCCTGTTGGTTTTGACATCATCTTCTGAGTCTCTTTTCCCTTATTATATCCTCTTGCCCTAAAAGTGCAGGTTTTCTCAAGACTAGGTCCTCTGGCCACTTCTGACTGTATATTCTGTAAGTAAGTGCCTTTGCTGTCCTAATGCCAACCTAGACACTTACACAGGCTCTTCCAAGCAGGTAGTGAGGGAGAAAATTGAATACATAAGGGAGTATGATCCTGCCAACTGTAGATTTATTCTTCTTTCGGGACAGTGTGGTATGCTGGAAAAGCATAAGCTTTTAAGCCAGGCAAACCTGAGTTCAAATTTTAAATAAGTCACCTTCAGAAGGTAGGTGAGTGGTTACCAGGGGTGAGAGCGGGGCTGGGGAGTGACTGCTACTGAGTACAGGTGAGTTACTAGCTGCATGTCTGTGAGCAAGTCATCTAACCTAAAAATGGGAATATTACCTTTCTCTAAGGATTGTTAGAATTAAATACCAATATAAAGCACTTACTACAAAATCTGGCACATAGTAAGTACACAGCAGATATTTGCAAGTACTATAACTGCTTTAAACAAACATTTGTTGCATGTACAGGATCTAATAGAAGAAAATGTGTTGTGTGAGTGTGGAGGTGGGCATGACAGTGCCTGGGTGAGTAAAGGAAGCTTCACAGAGGAGGTGACAGAGTTGAAGATTACTAATTCAGAAGAATGAGGGAAGAATAGAGCCCAGGAACAAAACCCTGAAAACACATGGCATATTCAAAAATTTTAGGGAGTTTATGGTGGGCCCAGCCCAAAAATCACCATTTGGGCCCTAAGTTGTTAGAATTGAGCTAGGGTGTGTGTATGTTTGGCAGTGGGGAAAGGGAGAACCCATTTTGTCTTTAAAAATATATATCAGGCACCATTTTAGACATATAGTTGATCCACGGTAAATGTCAGTGCTCTTTGACATTTTAATCCCTAATCACTTTATATGATAACTGATGTTTTTCTTTTAATCCCTAATCACTTTATATGATAACTGATGTTCAAGATATAATGGGCAGGTTCTCTAGTATTCAAATGGGAGGCAGGTGAGGTCAGAGTTACCAAGGTGTGAAGAATAATAGGTAAAAACAGTAATGTTCTGGGCCCCAAAGGCATGGATTGTCTTCACATCCAGGATGAATTTATCCCAATGTTAACTATACTGTGTAAAAATACAAAAGGCTTTTTAGCTGTGCTCTTGCAGGAAGAATTATCTACTGAGTACTTACTGTGTGCTAGACTTTGTATTAAGTGTTTTAATTCTAATAATTTAGGGTATTTAATTCTAATAATCCTGAGACAAAGGTAATATTACCAATCCCAATTTTTAGGTTAGATGACTTCCTCACAGCCACACAGCTAGTAAGAAGTGGAGCTGGACTGAAAATCAGATCTGTCCAACTCCTGTCTCATGATATTAACCACCATGAAATGCTGCTTTCCACTTATCACATTATATCTGAACTTTCTGTTGATCTGTCAAATTCCCCCTGACCTGCTATATGGTAAACTCCTCACCATGACTGACTGGTCTCCAAATTCATATCAATAAATGTTTATCAAATTAATAATATGAATCAGTAGGTCAGGTTGATCTACCCTTTGTCTCCTCAGGATTTCCAGTGTTATATTCTGAGGTTATGTTCATTGTATATAAATATAGCCCTTAAAAATAGCACCTAAAGGAACTGTACACCTAAAAATGATTAAAACAGTACATTTTATGTTATGTATATCTGACCACAATAAAAAAGAACAAAGAAAAAACAATATCTAGAAACAAGCAAATGATAGTGCAAGGGTTTCCAGACAAAAGTTGAGTCCGAGGTCACCCTGTCAATAGGCAGCAGTGATATGCTAGAAACCGGAATAGGGAGGGAGATCCAGTTGGACCACCTAATACAAAGGAACTTAGCCCTTCCCCTTGTTAACTAATTAAGGTAGTTCCCTGTTTTTGGCATCTTATCTCACTCTACCCTCACAATAGCTCAATGAAGTTTATGTTCCATTCCTACCTTACAGGTAAGAACTATGGCTGAAAAAATTTAACCGAATTGCCTGAAATTATAGAGTATAAGACCCAGACTCTGAAATTAAGTTCTATCAGATTTTGGGTTTTTCACCAAGTGTGACATCGAAATGAATGTCAAAGATAACACACTTTACCAGTCTAGAATTTCATAGAGATAAAGGGAATCTCATTTTATCTAACCTTCACTTTACAGCTGAGATAATGGGGGCCTGAGGGGTCAGGGGGGTGGAAGTGGGAGTCCTTGTTTAAGGTTATACATGGGCAATGACTCAATGCTATTTTTTGTGGCTTCAAATTCCTACAGATTTTTGTGCTGTTGGTTGAAAGGAAATGATCTTGAATATTCTTCCCAGCTTCGCAATTATAAAATGGAGACAATCCCTCTGATCTTAAACCTGGGTGGAGCCTAGGCCTGCCTGAAAGCCAAAAGCCATCTTGCCAGCTGGGCTTGGCAAAGACAGGTTCTGTCATTCCTCACCTTTCCCCCATATACTGGCTTAGCTGACACATAGGCTGTCAAGGAGGAGGCGTGTCCAGGCTGATCTCACCGGCACAAAGTCTCTTTTTCTTCCTCCCACCAAATTTAAACAATGGGATTGGGGTTAGATGATCTCATTTTAATTTGCTTTTGATGTCTGTATGCTGCAATTTCTTATGTATCTCCTTTGATGACCTTGCTGAGAGGGAGGGGGTGGGCAGTGATGACAATGGGTTAAGGAGTTCCTGGATGTGAAGAAAAACAGCAACCTAGTAATTGGGTTAATGCCTGTGATACAATCTTTGTTCTATTCATGGGGTGGGGAGTACTGGCCTCCAGCCCCTAGACTGGGAGGTCTCCGATGGCAGTTTGGAAAGAAAGGAAGTTAGAAGAATCTTTGACACGAATTTGGAATGTGGCACCAGAAACTAACTGGTGAGCAGAGAAGGTAAAGTCTGGTTTTAGAGGGTAAAGGAATTTAGGAAAATTTCTACCATTGAAGAAGGAGATGTGGCAGCTCAGATGAAGGCTGGGAATTCAAAGGCTAGGAAAGTTGGAAACCAAATTAAAGAAAACAGTGGGTGAAGGGGTGAAGATTTATTGAGACTTTTAATAGGGGTAAGTAGATTCTAGGTGAAGTGTTTTAGAAGGTTGGGGGATGGTCTATGGTGAGAAGGAATAGATAGAATTTGGGTGTGCTCTGGGCAAATTTGAGTAATAGTTTGTGAGGGGTATTGAGGGTGTGTCTAGAAGTCAGTGAGGGTGGGGTGAAGTTGCAGCGGGTAATGTGGGTTAAGGAGGATATATTAGGGGGAGTGTTGAAGGTTTGGTAGGGGTGAAAGGTTTCCAGGTAAAGACTGGACTTAGAGGACTTGGGGGACGGTAAGGTGAACACTAAAGTGTGCTTGGGAGATCGATGGGGGTGCTGAAAGCAGAGTAATGTTGGCATGGGGAGTGGACTGACGGTTTTGAGTAACGGAAGTGAAGAAGGTGGAGTGTTGGGAGAAGCTGAGGAAGGATAACTATTATGCATCAGGAATTCGCCTGTCCGTACTCTAGGCAGGAATGTGAGGCAGTCATTAAACTACTTCAGCGGACACCTAGTTGGAGGGGCTGGAGTGGTGTTGAAGATGGGCAAGTTGGATATTTTTCAGGGAAAAATGTGAGGGACATTTAGGGTATCTGGCTGGAAGCTGAGCCACTGGAGAGTTGGAGAATGTGAAAGAGCAATGGGCTGTTCTGAGGTTCCTATGCCAGTCACAGGATTTCCAGATTGGGGGATTACGGCATCGTACCAGGTATGGAGGCAGAACCGGGTTCAGTAAGAGTCGAGAGTGGTTGGAGTGAGGCTGGGGCCGATTCTGGGCTGGCGGTGGGCGGCGGGACTGGGAGGCCGGGCTCACCTGGGTAGGCTGTCCTGGAAGTGCATAGTGGGCACGACGCTGCGATGCAGGTACTGGCCCGGCCCGGAGCTGGCGCTGAGGAGCCGACACGGGGCTCCTGGGCCAACGGCAGGGCCCCGGGACCAGGCGCGCAGCAGCAGACAGGCCACCATCGTCCCAACTGTGGCAGCAGAACGCGAAGGATGCAGAGTTTTGGTGCACAGAGACAAGCCTCCGCCCTCAACGCCCGGGACAAAGGGGCAGGGTCTCCTGCCCAGTTCGCATCCGCCCGCAAAGGAACTTCCGGCCCGCAGGCCCCGCCCACGGAAGGACCGCCCACAGGCCCACAGGCCCATGGCCCCGCGCCTAGGGCCGCCGGCATCAGAACTTTGTTGGTTTTCTTCCGCCCCCGATGTAGCGCGAAACGGAGCTCCAAACCTACTCCTTTCTCTTTTGGAGAAAGATAAAAACTTGAGCTGAAGAAAAAGAGAAACCAAAATAGCTTTTGGAATCGGATAAACCTAAATTTGGTTCAGGCTCTGTCCCTGGGAGACCATGGGCAAAATTTTAAACCTCTATTCCTCATCTGAGAAAGAGATCATGATCGTTCAGCGTACCTCCCACCATCCTGGATATAAAATGAGATAATTTGGTATGTACAGTGCCTGACGCAGTACAGGTGGTTGTTAGCAGCCCGTGACATTTGCTCCACAGATGTCTGACATGATTAACGCCTCACAGCTGCCCTTAGACCTCACACGTGTTAGAAAAAAACGTGTGCAGAAGTTGAAAACCATGGAATCTCCCATACAGTACTTCTTCTGTGCAGAAAGCCTCTTAAGAGTAGGATCCCTTCTGCTTGAACAACCTTTCTCACCTTGAACATTTCTAAAGACAGGAAGCTTCGCCTCTGGCTCCGAGTTTTTCATGCTCAGTAGCCCACATGAGGCTTCCTGTCACCACACATCACTTCCAAGCTTCCTTCCAGCTTTGACTCTAAGATTATACAACTTGAACAGAGATCTATCATCCCTCACCCATCACTAAACAAAACTATTGCATGCCAATTCCTGCCCTCAACTGCAGCTGAAGGATTAAGTAGGTTCTGTGCCCATTTTACAGAAGAAAGGGAGGTATCGAAAGACATAAATAAAATCATGCTGTCTGGCTTGAGGTACAGAATTCCATTTGGGAACAACCTTCCTTTAGCTCCAGTTCTCAATCAACGCCTCGTGGGTTTGAGTTAGCCAAGTACATTTGGTCTGTCCCATAACTGGCTAAGCAGTGCCAAAAGCTGGAGCACACCAGAAAGAGCATGGGACTGAGAGTCAGGAGACCTGAATTTTGGTCTCAACTCTGTCCTTATCTAGTTAGATAACCCCTGGTTGATCAGGAAGATCACTAGCTAGCTCTGACACTCATTCAGTGGTGACTACAAATCCTTAAGAACTGAATATGAAGCTCAGGAATACTGAATATAGTCCTTCTCCCTTGAGAGAAACAGAGCTGACCTAGGTCTAAAACATCAATGCCAATTGCCTGCAGTGAATAAGGCCAGAAGAAGAATATCAAATCCTTTCTGAAAAAGATCACTCCACCAAATCCAGACAGATTTCAAAGCCTGAGAACCTGAAACATGTGTTGTAGAGCTAAGGGGATCAGAGGACCTGGAAGACAGTGGACCCAGTAGAAGAATAGCTTGATTCTAGAGACAGAAGGCCAAGGAATAGTGCCCATCCAATATAACAGCTTAAAGAAGGGCTCAAAGCCTTCTGTGGGTGAATGGCTGATAAGAACAAATCTAACCCTTCAGGCTAGTGTCCAAATTTTTCTAATTCTGTCCAAGGCCCCCACCTGCTTCTCCACTTCCCATCACATCACCCTAAGTACTCTATGCTGTAGTAACACTTGCACTACTAAGCATTTCCAGAACCTGTCCTTACTCCATGCCTTTTTTTTTTCAGTTGTGTCTCTATCTGTAATGTTTTTTCTATGCATCTCTGCCTAATACACTCTGACATCCTTCAAACACCATTTCAAAACTGCTAACCCCTATGAAGTCTTTCTTAATCCTCATCCTTTCTCCTTCCCTCAAGAACAAATTTCTCCCTCTGTGATTCCACAGCACTTTTCTTTTTTAAAATTTTTTAATTAATTAATTAATTGAAGAAAGATTTAAAATTTTTCCCCATCTACCTCTCCCCTTCCCTCTATCCTCTGGTAACCACTAGTACATTGTCCATGTCCATGAGTCTGTTTGTTTGTCCTGTTCATTTGTTGCTTTTAGGTTTATATCCCACATATAAGTGATATCTTGTGATTTTCAACTTTTTCTGTCTGGCTTATTTCACTTAGTACGATTATTTCAAGGTCCGTCCATGTTGTTGCAAATGGCAGTATTTCATCTCTTCTTATGGCTGAGTAATATTCCATGTATATATGTACCATAGCTTCTTTAGCCAATCTATCATAGGATACTTCAGTTGCTTCCATGTCCCACAGCACTTTTCATATTCCTTTACTGTTATATATTTAAACATAACTATATTATGATTTATTTATCAGGTCATCTTTCACAATAAACTTTGAGGCCCTTCAAGGCAGAAATCTTGTTTTCATTTATGTATGCAAGTGTCTAGCACAAGGCATATCTTCTTCCTTGGGACGGCCTGGTGCCTGTATTACATTCAGGATAACCATAAGCTAGAAGACCAGAAACACAATATTTTGTTGTAGAAGGGTCAAGAAAGTTTATTTACTTAGAGAAAAATCCTGAAGAATAAATTGTTTGTATTGAAATAATCCCAGAATTCTGCTCTGTTTCAAATTAATTCTGAAAAGAACATGGTGGCCAGGTTAAAGTAATATCCTTATTCAAAATCAAAGTTCTTAAAAACAATAAACTTCAGATAGCAGAAGAGTCCACATTTCAATGAAAAAGAGACCCAGTTGGGTAAGGATGAGCAAACACAGCAAATGTGAACACCCAATATTTGAAGAAATGACAGGAACTAGCACCTAGAATTGGCCTGGCAGTTTCAAGTTGACTGGTTCTACTAGATCTTACCTTGACCTAATGTTGCTTGAAATAAGGAAATGCATGGGCTAGTCTTCAAGAAGTGCTGTCTGATTTAATGGGATTCGTTGTAATGAACTCCAAACCTTTAAAAAGAAACTGAGTATATGAGAATATATTTAAATACAAAAATAGTGAAACCAAAGTGTAACGAATGCTCTCCCTGCTCCATTTTGATGGTTAAATTTATTTGTCAACTTGACTAGGCTAAAGGATACTCAGGCAGCTGGTAAAACATCATTTCTGGGTGTGTTCATGAGTATGTTTCTGGAAGAGATTGGCATTTGAATTGCAGACTGAATAAAGAAGATTGCCCTCAAGAGTGTGAATGAGCATCATCCAATCCACTGAAGGTCTGAATAGAACAAAAAGGCAGAGGAAGGGAGAATTTGCTCTCTGCTTGGGTTGGGACACCCATCTTCTCCTGCCCAAGGACATCAGTAGTCCTGGTTCTCGAGCCTTAGGGTTTGGACTGGCGCTACATCACTGGCTCTCCTGGGCTGCTAGCATGCAGACGGACTTCTCAGCCTCCATAATCTTGTGAGCTAGTTCCTCATAATAAATCTCTTTCTATATACGTATATCTACATCTACATCTATCTCTATCTATCTATCTATCTGTCTATCTATCTAATCATCTATCTATCACCTATTGCCTATTGGTTCTGTTTCTCTAGAGAATCCTAATATACACATAAAAAACTTTTAAAACTCACTTGTGAATACACTAGATGTTTGAATAAGCCAATCAATGGGGAATTCGTGCTATATGAGAAAAAAATCTGTTCTATTTAATTCACAACTAACCTAAATTCGTTTTGTGAAGCATTGCTCAGAACTATTGGGGAAAAAGAACTGATGCCCAGAACATAAAGAGAGCTTAATTATGAGAGTATATAGGTGTAGAAGGTGCACCTTTTGAGGTGTCTGAAAGACCAAGTTTATGCATTTCAGACATGGGTCATCTGAGTTGGCAGGCCTCTGGGTCCTCAGTGACAAGGATGCAAAGAAGAATGTGGCTGTGAAGGACCCTGAGTTGAGGTGGCAGGGAGGAGGTGGAGACTTCAGCCACAGCTCAGAACACCTCCTGGGAAAGGCCCTGGCCCCTCTCTGGACTCTGTGGCAATAGATCCCTGACGTCTGCTGCATGCCTGTGTATACTCAGCTCTTCCAAGTGAGGAAGGTTAAACTCAACTCTGGCATCCAACTGTCACCATTTTCACTTGTGGACTTCTCTGGTGGGGGCAGGCCTCTGCATACAGCCCCAAGTCAGCAATGGGCAGAAAGAAGGAGGGCAACTCTCAAGATGCAAAAATAATGGCCTGGTCCAGCCTCCTAGGTGTGTTGGGATTATTAGAAAAGACTATTTTCCAGTGGAAACCTTTGTTTCTTCACTGGGTCCTCGGGGCCCAGTTCTTTTTGTGCCCCTTTGCCAATTTCAGTAGGCAGAGAATCTTACTGGGAATTTGTGTGAGTGTGTGTGTGTGCGTGTATGCGTTCTAAGTTAGTAAAAACCTCTTGAAATTCAACCACACAGAAACTTCAGGCAGATTTTCTTAAGACTGTACAAGAAGAGAACAAATGATGACAAAAGGATATGATGTCAAGAATTTGGTAGTGTTTTAAAAATCACACACAACTTCAAGCTCTATGGTGGGATCAGTGTGTCTTAATGGTGACTCAGAGGCAATGCAAAGTTCCCCATGAAAGACGATGAGCATTTGCAGGCAGCCCAATAAAATTATGGCCTTTAGAACAATTTAGGTTTGAAATAAAAGAAGTGGTTGGTCAATATAAATATTCTAATTACTCACAGTTAATAGAGTTATCTGAAAAAGGTTAAAGGGACAGACCCCTGAAGAAGTAGGAGGGATGGATACAGACAGCTGTTCAAGGTATTTATCTGTCTATGTATCATATCATCATGTCATATTATATCATATATCATATCATATCATATGTTTAAGCCAGTGGAATTGTGTTATTCTGTTAATAGCAGCTGAACCAATTTCTAATTGATGCATTATTCCTCAGAATATGAGGCAGAGCATCACAAACTTTACATAGATATGGTCCATAAAATATCAGATGGACAAACGTGTGGCTATAAGGATCAATTTGTAAGCCACTCTCAGTTTTAAGAGGAGCCAAGGTAGTCAGAAGGCAAACTTTGAAATTAAGATTATGAGAGAATTTATCCAAATGACAGATGTAGAAGC